CGCACCAGTACGACGACTACCCGCGGGAGAAGTGTGTCCTCGACAATCGCTACTGCATCGTCCACTTTGAGGGCATGAACATGCTCACCTGGGAGCTGCTCACCAAGCGGAAGTATGCTTTTGTCGGCATCGTCTTTGCCGACTTTCCCGGCTGTGGACTGCTGCAGGCGATCATTGATGTCAATTTTTAGCTTCTCTCCAAAAAAATGTCAACTCTAATAATTTAAGTTAATTCTATTTTCTAATTTGTCATTTTTGTTCTATTCTATAGTTTGTAATTTGTTGTTTTCCATTTTGACTAACAATTAATTTTGAAAATTAGTTTGGGCATTTTGGCTAGCTTTTGCCCACTTTAGCAAGCGAATTAGCAGCTTGATTCACCGCACAAAAAAACACTTCACACACTGCTGAAGAAAATAAGTTGCAGTGACTGAAGACGGCAAAATGATGATGGTGGTGGTGGGGTAAGCAATGAAGTCTGTGAAGGAAAACAGTTGGCAGAAAAAGATGAAGAAAGAGGGAAAGAGGGAAAGAGGGAAAGAGATTGCCAGCAGCCGGCAACCAGTTTGTGGTCTTTGGTGCCCATGGTGGCAGTGCAACCGGCGATGCACTCACATCATCACACTCTGTGCACCAGCACAGGCACTCTTCATTCATCAGCACTATCTGCCAACTATGAACAGCAGCGCCAGTGCAGAGAAAGCATTGCTGGTGCTGGTGGCCACCGACCACCGACCGCCACCACCACCGGCACACAAAGGAAACTCGAAGAGGCCTGCAAGAAGAGGCAAACAACACACGATCGGCCACTTCTCTCACTCTCTGGCCAGCTCAGCGACGAGCACTACCAACACAGAGTGTGGCAGAGCCAGGAGCCCATCCCCAAGCACAACTCAAAGCCACTGACACCACCAGGCACACAGTGTTCCGTGCCGTTCACCGCACATAAACTGCCAGCAGCACTGCTGGCAAACTCGTTCGCTGCGTCGCCGTCGTAGTTCTTCTCCCCTCCACTATACTTACTACCTTCCAGCAGTGCACTTCTCCCATCTACCATCTTCCTCCTGTCCCTCTGCCGGCTGTCAGCAGCAGCCGTGGTGGTGGCGGCGGCAACGGCGGCACCACCATCAGCAGCAGCAGCAGTGGTGGCTGAGCAGGATTCGGTCTCTCAATTCTCTCCCTTCTCTTTCTTTCTTCTCTTCAGTGAGCAGTGTTTTTATCTACTCGGCAACTCTCCACCTTTGGCCCTTTCTCTTCTGCCTGCTCTTCTGTTTCGCTGATTCTGTCTCGGGTCTCTGGAGCATCTTCTTCTTCTGTTTGGAACTGTCTTCTTTTGTGTTTCGTTTGACTGTCACCCTCACCGGCAACGACTAATAGTGGTTCAAGTTCAGCGGCACCACTGCTCAGTTTCTTCTTCTTTTGTTCTCTTCTTCTGTGGTGTACACACAGTCTTCAGTCTTCGTCACCTCTCTCGTTCCCTCTGATTGCCAGCACACTCACACACAATGGCCGACTGTATGATTTCGCCCNCACTGCTCAGCTTCTTCTTCTTTTGTTCTCTTCTTCAGTGGTGTACACACAGTCTTCAGTCTTCGTCACCTCTCTCGTTCCCTCTGATTGCCAGCACACTCACACACAATGGCCGACTGTATGNTGCTCAGTTTCTTCTTCTTTTGTTCTCTTCTTCTGTGGTGTACACACAGTCTTCAGTCTTCGTCACCTCTCTCGTTCCCTCTGATTGCCAGCACACTCACACACAATGGCCGACTGTATGATTTCGCCCAACTTTGCCTTCAACGGCGGCAACAGCGGCAGCAGCAATGGCTCCCACAATGGCGGCAATGGCAACGGCAACGGCGGCGGCCGAAGCGGAAGTGCCGCCGGCCTCAATTCTCGGGACACCCCAAATGATGAGAACCGGTGAGTGGTGGTGATGACGGTGATGATTATGATCTCAAACATGTCTAGCGATTGGCAAACAAAAGCCGCATTGGATGCACTCTCAACACAGCATTCGGTGGAAGCACCTAAAACGCATTGGCTAAGCGGCTTAGCCCTTCTAAAGAGAGAATATTTAGCAGCGGGGACTTAGGAGGAAAAACATTAGCCTAAATGCCATTTGCAGCTGCTGCCGATGCTGATGTTGATGCTGATGTCACCAGTCGCCATGTTTGTGGTGGCTGGTTGGCAGTGGACATTAATGGCACTTGCCCACTAGCCACCACACTCAGAAGGGCTTGTTTTTATCCGGTTTTTTCAAGATGGGATGCAAAAGTATAAATTGACATGCAATGGATGAATGGCACCAGTTTTTTTGAAGTCAGGGAATTAGGATGAATCTAGTCAAAGGGGAGGGGAAACAAAACTGCACAGCAGTGTCCTTTTCAGTCAGTGTTTTCAGTTTTGTCATCCGAATTCTTTAAATTTTTTCTCCACTGTTAGCAAACAATGAGATCATTTTTCTAACATTTGCTTGTATATTTACAACATTTACTCTCTCCATCACAATGAACCACTCAACAACACTCTACCATGAACTCTGCAGAAAGCTCTTCCTTGGCGGTCTCAGCTGGGAAACTGACGAGCGTAAGTGAATAAACACTGTTCTGTAGTTTTGAAATCAACAAGAGTAAGTTTTTAATTTAAAACTTTTTATTCTTTTAATTCTAGGCGATCTGATGGACTACTTCAACAAGTATGGCCAGGTGGACAAGGTGACGATCAAGTACGACAATGTCACTGGCCGCTCGCGTGGCTTTGGCTTTGTTACCTTTGTAAACATGGACTCTGTTGATGCTGTAAGTGGATGGGGTGAAACACGTTGGGAGTTTATTATCATCATCACATCATGGACTTTGGGGCTTTGACCAAAGTTCACGGCTAAAAAACTAGTTTTCTACTGGTTTTATTGCCTCCACTATACTTTGCTTCCTTTCCACCCACTCCTTTCTCAAACAACAACTTGTCTAACCAGTTTTTAGGGATGATAATGATGATGATGATGATGATTTACTGCCTACACTACTATCTCATCTACACTTCCACTGACAACTGAACTTTACTAAACATATCTTTTTCACACACTAAACTTTCAGGTCCTGAACGCCGGCCCGCACTACATCAAGAACCGCGCTGTCGACCCGAAGCGCCCCAAGGGCAAGACCGGCCTGAAGAAGATCTTCGTCGGTGGCATCAACGGTGACCTCAGCAAAGAGGAGATCAAGAGCTACTTTGAGAAGTTTGGCAATGTAAGTGCCTTTTTGTTGTTCAATTCCTGGTTTACTAAGATCCCACTTTTCAAAACACACCAGATTGAAAACATCGAACGCCCCTTTGATCGTCAGCGAAACCGCTCGCGCGACTTCTGCTTCATCATCTTTGAGACGGAGGAGGCAGCCGAGTCGGCCATCTCCAATCCGAAGCAGGTGATCGGCGGCAAGGAGTGCGACATTAAGCTCGCTCACCCGCAGCGAAACCAGGGCGGAGGCATGGGCGGTGGCCACATGGGCGGCGGCGGCGGCTTTGGCGGTCCCCGAGGTGGCCGTGGCCCGAGCGGTGGCGGCAACGGTGGCGGCAACACTTTCTTCAAGAACAGCAACCGCAGCGGAGGCGGCGGCGGTGGCGGCAATGGAAATGGCGGCGGAAACAACGTCGGCAACAACTGGCGCAACTCTGATGGGCGCCCGGCGGGCGGTTTCCGCACCGGTGGCCACGATGACGGGCGCGGCTTCTCTGAGACGCAGTTCCTCACCAACATGGACACCATGCCGAACAATGGCTACGGCTACAAGAACAGCGGCTACAACAACAACTTCTTTCCCAACTACTGGAACTAAGTGATGAGTTGGATGTTGTTTGCGTGAAAGAGAAGAGAAGACTTTCTTTTTCTTCTACAAAAGATGCTTTTGGTGGAGGTTAGTATTTGTAGTAGTTGTTGTGAATGTAAATCTAATGTTTTCTCTCTGTTTTATCTTTACAGAACATTTTACACTTTATGCTCTATTTATCTCCTCTTTTAAGCCTCCTCCTCCTCTCCACCGCATCTTTAATCTTCTTCTTTAATCATTACCTTTCTCTTCTCTTCAACAACAACAACAACATCTCCAACGCCTCTTCATTCACCGGCACACACATCTAACCTCCACATTATATCTTTTCTTCTTTCTCTTCGTATTTCTTTATCTTCCTCCCTCTTCACTTCTTAACCTCCGCTTATTTCTCGACTATTCAACTATTCAACCTTCTTTGGCTACCTTCTTCTCTTTTTCTCTCTCTATTTTGTTACAAGTTATAAAATATATTTATTCTTCGTCTGCGACAAAGTCCCACTGAACTAAACATCCTCTACAACCCGAAACAACAGCAACAACACCACATAATTGGAACCCGCTTTGAAGTGATATTTAAATGCCACACGCTTGCCACGTCCTTGAAATGATAATATTCTTGACCACGATTACCATCACCACCACCACCCCGACCATGACCACCACACTCTTCCTACATATATTTATGAATCAGCACATCTTTTTCATCAACTATTGTATGTGGTGTGTTCAAAAACAACCTCAGCAAAGAGAAGATGAAGATGTAAATTTTCAAAAGTCCTTTCCTAATTCTTCTGCCCAACTTCAAACAACAGAAACAAAAATTACGACATAAATCACACACACCTTTTTTATACAACCAGTACTCGAATAGAAACGAAAGATCTCAACTCAAGAATCTTTTTCCTTATTTATTTTGTCATTATGAAATTATTTGCCCATAATTTTTCCTTTTCTCTTGGTCGCTAATCTTCCTTTTCTTTCACTTCTTTCTAAACTTCTTTTCAAACGCAAAGCATTCAACGACGTTTCCTTGCTCTTCACCTTCAATGGCCACTCTCTTCTCCAAGAATATTTACTTGTCCACTAATTTTTTTTATGTCACGCACACAGATCCTTTCTTCCTCAAATTTTTTCTAGCCAAAGTACAACACAAATTTCGGTCGCTTTTTCTCTGATTTTTCGCTTTTCTGCTTTTCCGCTTCTTCCTCTTTTCAATACATCTGGCTTTAATCTAAATCCTTTTGTACTGTTCTAATTCTTACAATACACTTTTTGCCTGAACCTCTGGAACACACATATTTGGTCACACTACCACACTTCCACCTTCATATAAGCTTTCGAAAACATGCCCCAGGTGTTGAAAAACCTTCACTCTCTCTCTCCCTTTTTCTTCTTGAAGTTGACCTCTGACCTTTGCATCCCATTCGCTCGTTTCGTTTCAATCTCTGACACACATACATTCAGACAAATACCTAAGTAAAGAGTATTTTTTCCAGCTGCATCAACTTGCTACTCTCATCATCTCTGATACTACACCATTTTTACACCTCTTTCCACACCTTCCTCAAAGTTTTTTACCTTCTTCTCTTTTTTTGTCACTCTTTTCACCAATCTTCTTCTGTGCAACATCCACTCTTTCTTCTTTTTGATTTTCTGTCTCGAATTATCTCTCTCTTTGTCTCTCGGTCCTCGATCGGTTTACATGTTTCGTTCTGTCTGTCTGTCTGTCTCTGTTCTGAACGTCCTAACTTGTTTCGATAAATATATTTTTTACTTGTACATAATCTTCTTCATACACCACACACTATATTTCTCTTGTTTCTCTTTTTTTGTCGACTGTGAATGAATTTTCTTCACACTACTTCTCCAATTTTCAATGTCTCTCATTCTTTTTTTAGAAATTGAACCCTCAATGACTCTGATGACTTTGTCTCCTGACTATTCGGTATTCTCAATTTGAACTTTTCATTTTTAACAATTTTAATTTCAATGCCTCCAACTTTTCTTCACCCACTTTTTTCGAAACTCCTTTTGTCGTCCGTTTGAAAGTTCCCTCACCTCCTCCTCCTTCTAACATCTCTTTCTTTGTCTTTGATTGATAACACCTTTTGTCACCATCTTTGTCACCTTTGACACCTAACAATTCTTCTTCTCGGTATTTCCTGTATCTGACAAAGGTAGACATCACTATCACATCCACCACCTTCTTCTCCTTCTTTTCCTCCCACTTCAAATCCCATTACTATTCTCTTATCAATAATAAAAACGCAACCATATAATTGACAAACAAAATAACCGAAAGAACAGAGATCACAGGAAGAATTGGATGGGTGGTATTATTACTCTGTATCACACACACATTTAGTTGTTGTTTTTCTCACTGGGCTGCGGAGAGAGGAGCACCGTGCGACAGTCACACTGCAGCCCGCCGCCCTTGTAGACCTTGGCGTCGACGTACCGCCGAGTGGCCACGTACTGGATCACCCTCCACGAGGCCGGACTGCTGCAGGCAGTTTGCTGGCAGTACCAACAGTCGACGTTCTCCTGCAGACACTGCCAACAGCGGTCTCGCGCCTCCCTCGTGCTGATGTAGCTGGCGCAGATGTCCACGACGGTGTCCACCTGCTGGTGGATGTGCTTCACCGTGCTGTTCAGCAGGCTGAAGAGCTCCGACTGAGGAAGTGGGGGCGTCCACTGAGAACGGTTGATCAGCGTCTGGTAGGTGACGCGAAGGCGATCATCGAGGCGGTTTGCAGCCTCAAAGTCGACGTTCAGCTGATTGGGGTGACAGGCGCGGGCGAGGCTCCACTTGCAGAGAAGGACGTCGTCGGACATGGTGGTCAGCTTGGCNGACGGTTGATCAGCGTCTGGTAGGTGACGCGAAGGCGATCATCGAGGCGGTTTGCCGCCTCAAAGTCGACGTTCAGCTGATTGGGGTGACAGGCGCGGGCAAGGCTCCACTTGCAGAGAAGGACGTCGTCGGACATGGTGGTCAGCTTGGCGTAGTACTTGGAGAGGAGAGCTCGGTCTGAAAAAAAGAAAAAGATTTTGGTAAACTTGAAATCATAAAATGTGCTTTACCTTTCTCTTCATTGGCCTTCCGAGCCACTTCGCCCATCCTCTCCTCAACCTGATTCAAATTGCCAAACTTGAGGTACAGTTTCTCATCGAGAAACTCCCTAATGTGAGCAAGCAGGTGTCGCTCGTTGCCCTTCAACTCAACACCAGTCAACTCAAGTTGGCTTTTCAGCTCTTCAAGCTGCGCCTTCAGCGCTCGAACGTGAATTGCTTTGCCTAGCTGCTGCTTGAGGTTTGATTCGGGGATAAGCGAATCTAGTGGTTTGAGGCTGCCACCATACAGCACTGGAACCTGCTCATCAAAATGGCGGAAAGTGCTTTTAGTGTGCCTGTTGTACAGTTGTTGATCATCAAAAGAAGTGAAAGGTGAACTGCCGTTCACTTGCTCCTCTTTGGGAATAATACGAGAGAGAAAAAGGGCCACCGTTTTGGCGGTAATCTCCGAACGGTCGTTGAGGTAGAGATACTCTGGGCTGATTGTCGTCTGCTGGTAGTACACTGCTCCCAGGGCAGCCGACTCAAAGTAGGCAGTTCCAAAACGGTCAAAAAGTGCTTCATACTTTTCCGGCGCTTCGGAGTACTTGCTGGGAAGAGCTCGGAGTGCGCTAATAAACGCCGGAGAGAGCGAGTGGCTGAAATTAAAGTGAAGTTGTAGTGTTGAGTAGTAAGATGATATCTGAAAATGGTAAGATTTTATAACGAAAACAAATAATGAAAATCAAAGTTCTACCTGAAGAACGCTGCTCTCCGCACCGAGGACCTCCTTCTGAAGCTCCCTCCAAGTGGCACTCTCCACACCCAGTGACGCCTGGTGCTGCTCTAGTCCGTACTGAGCGGCCAGTTCGTGTTTGAGCCGCGTCAGATTCTGGTAAAATTGTGTCCTCAGCTGAAATCGATCTCCGGGCACAAACTTCAACGCCGTCAGCTGATCAGGTCGAGAGTATGAGGAGGAGGTGTCTCGAGGATCGGTCCACAGCTCCTCTTCGCCGCTGCAAGTGTACTCAAAAATGGGCTCCATTGCAAAGGAAGAGGAGGTGTTTGTGAATAGTAAAAGATCCAATTTGGTAATGTCCACTCCGATAACCAGTTGAGCCACTCCAGGAGGTAGCTGATCAGGATGGCAAAGTACCTTTGGAGAACTACTTCTATCAGCATCATCACCCTCTGATCTGGTCATCTGATTGGTCATCGAGTCAAGAACACTGTCGGGCAGTTCAACCACTGTTGTGGTGGCACTGGTAACTCTGCTGCTGCTGTGCCGGGTAAAGTTCTGCACCACTGTGGAGTACCGGGGTGAGATGACAAAGTGGAGGAGGCAGAGGATGAGAAACATGGCCGCCAGGAGGATGATGGCGGTGACGGTGCGAGGGTGAAAGGACCGGCGACAACAGCAGAAAGCTGTCGATTTTGTTGACCGACCCAGCGATTCATAGCTGTGACTGTACTGCTGCCCCATCATTGCCACCGCCTGTCGAGGTAAATTTCGTCGACCCATCAGGTCGACCCATTGTCGATTCATCATCGGCTTTTCTTCTTCTTCTTTTGATGGTCAACACTTTGGTCAAAAGCAAAAGTGAAAGTAAGGTGTGTGTGTAACAACCTTTGTTGTCTGTTGTTTTTTTGCCATAGTTTCCATGTGACGCCTTGTTTGTCGCTTCTTCTCCCTTTCTTTGTCGTCTACTTTCTAATTGAGGTTAATGTTACTCCAATTGAGATGCAACTCTCTGTGTGTACGGTGACTAATGGCAACCAGATAACACCAGAGCACTTTCAATCTCTTACAACTGCTGCTGCTGGTGGCAGGAAAGTAAGACAATCTCTTTAGCACCGGCAAAAGCACAAATCGTCTTGCGGATTTGGTAGCCGGAGACTTTTTTCCTTCTTTGAGTGATGCCTGTAAACACTCATGGGCGCACATTTTCCAATCT